TGCCACTGCTGTAGTCTCTCTTCTTGTTTCTTTTCTTTTTCCTCCAACCACTGCTGTAGTCTCTCTTCTTGTTTCTTTTCTTTTTCCTCCAACTGTTGCTGTAGTCTCTCTTCTTGTTTATTTTCTCGTTCTTCTTGTTTCCTTTCTTTTTCCTCCAGCAACTCCTGGAATCTCTTCTTGTTTATTTTGCTGTTCGAGCTACCACTGTTGCAGGTTTTCTTGCCACTGCTGTTGTCTTTCTTCTTGTTTCTTTTCTTTTTCCTCCAACAACTGCTGTAGTCTCTTTTCTTGTTACTTTTCTCGTTCTTCTTTCTTTCGCTGTTCTTATATTGCTGCCTTCAAATCTGCTAAGCTGTAGTTTGATTTGCCACTTCTGGTTTCCATCTTCTCCTTTTTTTTTCCCGGCCCACTCTCTGACACCAATTTGTTGTGTATCTGTTTGTTTGTTAATTTCCGGTTGAAATTATTTCCAAGGAACTTTTAGTAATACACAGAATTTCCACAGTCACTTTAAACTTAACAACCTTCATAACACACGCTATAAATCACAGTGATTCACACACTTTACTTACGGTGCCTACTGTTCGCTTGACACAATTATCCATCTTATCAATCTATCTGCCTATATCGCTGGCTTTCTTTGCCAGGCTTATATATTAAAAAGAGGGCGTCTAGCAAACACTCCAGACATTTGCAGGGTTCCCCAATAATTCTAGAAACTCCAGTGGGCATGCTCCCAGCATCACGCGACTTCTGCTGTCGTAACAATAGAATTAAACTGGGGGGTTGAATGAACAAAATAATGCAGTTCAGTTATCATTGACTGTACTCATGTTAATTACCAGATAAATAAGGTTTAGATTTTGATTTTAGAAAACATAAGTCTGTGTGTTTTGGAGGTTAATGTAAATGTAACTTATGAAGTTGTTTAACTCTTTAACTGCCATGGACATATAAATGTTCCTCCTCCCTTGACCACTGTCATGGACACATTTATGGAACACACTATATATATATATAACCTTTGTTTTACCATTGAAAAATGTAACTCTGGAAGGTCTTATACCATGAAGAAAGGGTATTCCCCTTCAAGTTTTCCAAAGTTAACCAGTCTCAGATAAGTAATGAAATATTAAAATATATCTTTTTGTTGTTGTTGTATATGTAGAAATAAACATGTTGTTGAGATATGGCAGTGAGAATTAAAAGACCTTTTTTGTTTGTTGTTAAGCACAAAGCTACACAATGGACTATCTAGACTGTGTCCACCATAGATATCGAAACCCAGTTTTTAGTGTTATAAGCCTTCAGACGTACCTCTCAGCCGCTGAAACTGGGGGAAGTTAAAGTATTGAGAAAAACTGGTTACACATTCATTTCTTAGTAATGATTTAATGTTTACAATTTAAAAAAAAAGATAAGTTTTACACAATTGACTTTCATTTTACTGTGTCAGTGTTTTCCAAAGATCTTTCCTTTATTTGCTCTGAGCTTAGGTTGTTCCTAAACTTTCCTCTCTTAATATTTCTTCTATGGTTACTCCTATGTCGTTGTTTTCTGTTATTTTCTTAAATTGATTTCAAACCAGGAATTAAGTTAAATACAAAATTTATTGTTTATCTTTTAAAGTCAAGTTCCTGTTTCTTGTTCATTTTCACCTTTGCTAGACAGGATGAGGTTTTTAGTTTAGTTCATTCTGTCTGACTGTTGTACTAAGTAATTGTAAAATAAACACAATGCAACATCAAATAATTTTATGTTTAAAGTCGTAATGTTAGTTAGCTCTAGTTTAATGTCGTAGTGTTAGTTAGCTCTAGTTTAATGTCGTAGTGTTAGTTAGCTCTAGTTTAATGTCGTAGTGTTAGTTAGCTCTAGTTTAAAGTCGTAGTGCTAGTTAGCTCTAGTTTAATGTCGTAGTGTTAGTTAGCTCTAGTTTAAAGTCGTAGTGCTAGTTAGCTCTAGTTCAAAGTCGTAGTGTTAGTTAGCTCTAGTTCAAAGTCGTAGTGTTAGTTAGCTCTAGTTCAAAGTCGTAGTGTTAGTTAGCTCTAGTTCAAAGTCGTAGTGTTAGTTAGCTCTAGTTCAAAGTCGTAGTGTTAGTTAGCTCTAGTTCAAAGTCGTAGTGTTAGTTAGCTCTAATTTAAAGACAAATTTGGGAATTTTTTCTACTCTTTGTTGGGAACTAAGATATTCATGTTGGCATAATGAGGACAGATTGACTTGAGTAATATTAAAGTTAAGTTGTTAATTAACCCTAGAGTTACAGAGCTTTTGTAAAGTTTTTCTAAAGTATTTATGTACTACATTGCTTATGGATCCAGGACTTCATTGGTTTCTATGTTTATTGTTAAGCACAAAGCTACACAATGGACTATCTGTGCACTGCAGGTATTAAAACCTGGTTTTTAATATTATAAACTCTAAGACTTACTGCTGAGCCACAGGTGGGGGGGAGGGGGTACATTGTTGGTTTCAGAGACCATAGGAATACATGGAGCACACAAAAGATATAAACCTCATCAATGTTACAATTAATGTTCCTACTTTTTGCTGGGCTCCTCTATGTATCTTACATAGGACATTATTGTTTTCATACAATGTTTTAAAGTTAGTTATTTACACTGAATGTTGTAAAAGGCAAAACATACAATTACTTAGTATTATCAAATATGAAAACTCCAAAGGTACTGAACAGTACAATAACAAGTCATTATTTATGTGAATTTGAAGCAGTACGTCTAATCTCAATAACTTATTTGTCTAATATCCAAATAAGCAAATTATATCTACATTACTGAACTTTCAGCAAGCCCTGGTTTCTTTCCTAGATTATCTACAGTTCCACTTCAGTTACACTCATCTCATTTTTTGATCGAATTTTGGGAAGAAAACATTCAACCTCCAACAAATGTCAGGAGGGATATACAGTTTAAATATTTATATAGTCATGTTAAACTTGTATTAGTGCAGGTGGAGTTATAATTATTTAAAGATGAAATTACCTAGATGAGTTAAAACTTATCAAGATGTTGTACTGAATTTTGGAACTTTTGTATCACATCACTATCATATTTGTGTTATTTCCACATATCAATATTTTTTTCCTCAAAAAACACTTGGATGTCATCAGTTAAGCCCAAGAACAACTCTGTTGAAATTTTGTTCGATAACTTTTTTTTTAAATACTCATTTTGAAGATTGTGTTAAAATTATCTCATGTGAAATGAACAAGAATCACACTATTTTAAAATATTCATTTTATTAAAAATTCTAAATTCAACATATTCATGAGTTTGCACCAAATAATTATTAATTTACAATATTTTTTTTACTTATACTAAGACAGCAGAAGTATTTATATTTACTTTAAATGATCATGAACTGCAAATTCTAAATTAAGTACTGATAGTGAATTGAAAACTAATCTCCAAACAATATGATCTTAATGTAAACAACATCTAATATGAAAATTACATTTATAGGGAAGATCTGATATACATATTCTTAGGTAAATACAAACCTGAATATCTAAAATACTTAGAGTGTACACTCCAATGATCATTATTTACTACATGGTAATGCTGGAATCAACCATTTTCACTTAATCAAGGTGGTAAGTAAAACAGTGAAGTATAGAATTCTGGTTCTGACAGTTTGCGCCAATACCGGTTCACTATTTCCTGAATTTTTAACTTCCGACGAACATGTGGGGGTAGACAACTGAAAGAAATTGGAAAAACAGGAATAATTTATTCCAACAATGTTCATGCTCAGTACCAAACCACTGTGCTTAACAAAATGGCAGTGTGTTCCAATTACAGCTTTAAATGTAGCTATAAAACACCAAATTTGCACACACATCAGTCTAATGCATCATATTTTAGTATATATTCCTGAAATTTTTACAATAATATACAAACAAGTCACCATTTACATGTACAGCTTTGGTTGTAACAACCATATATATATTTCTCTAAACACCCCTTACTACAACAGTTTGGATGCTTGCTTCAGTAGATGCTCCAGTGATGGCCTATCCTCAACAGAACTGCAAACAAGTCACAACTTCAACTCACACATTGCTGAATAACAGTAACTCCCCAGTATTACTTACTAATCATATTCCAGCAATATGCAAACAAACCTTAAAAATTATGCTTAACATACTAGAACTCTGTGTATCTTCAGAAAATTTGGCGAGCTTTCAGTAAACAAATCTGTTGTACACAAAAACCAGTTTTAATAAAATATTTATAGCAAAAGTTTGTCTAAATATCTAAAGCCTTTACTGAGTCAATATGAGTTCAAGTTTATTTTAACACTAACAATAAAAATACTTCTTTCCATCTTACAGTTTCCATTTGCATAACCACTAAAACCTCCTAAACAAATATCAAGTTTATTTAAGGTAAAAGTTTATATTTTATCTGTTATTTTATTAACTTTAATACTAGCTAAATCATCAATGTAAAGTGATACAAAAGTTTCAAAATTATGAAATAAATATCTTTTTTTCCTTCTTCAATTTCTTTATCTTCCCAATTTCAGATGTTTACCTTTTCATATATAGTGTATTTTGTTTGTTTGTTTTATTGAATTTTTGCGCAAAGCTACATGAGAGCTATCTGTGCTAGCCGTCCCTAATTTAGCAGTGTAAGACTAGAGGGAAGG